TAGAATCCCTGCTTTATTTGTGTGAATTTCGGGTATTTTCTCGATCTCGTAAATATGTGATGCAAACCGATTTTCATTTTTATTGATTTTTTTTTTGTGCATTGCATCATCGGATTGTGTCCCTGTCTGTGATTTGTTTTTATCATAACCTGTTTTATTCAGTGTAGTAGTATTGGCTTTGCATTTTAAAAGGGGCTGGTGTTACTGTACTGTAAATTGAGTTGCTTACATTTTCATGATTTGAAGGCAATCCGGAGGGACTTCGATATATCTGTTTGTTGCTCTTGTGTTGCGTCACTGAACATGAGGGGGAGGGGGAGGAGGAGGGGGAGGGGGAGGAGGCGAGGGAGGGGGGAATGATGGGGTGATGAGGGAGTGGGGAAGAGTGAGAGAGAGTGGGAGGGAGACAGAGGGGGAAAGGGTGGGTGAGGGAGGAGGGAAGAGTGAGAGAGAGGTGGGAGGGAGACAGAGGGGGAAAGGGTGGTGAGGGAATGAGGGAGTGAGGGGGAAGAACAGACAGTTGCAGAGGAATCGGAGTGCATGCAACTGCCTTCAACCCCCGTATTAAAATCTCCATTTCCCCCCTCCCCCTCCCCCCTCCCCCCCTGGCATCTCCCTCGGGCATCCTCCCTCCCACAGGCGTTGGGGCTTAGCCAATGTGTCCTCGGCAAAATTATCCCGGGAACCTTGGGTCGTGCGAGCGCTCTCTCTCTCTCTTCTCTCTCGTCTCTCTCTCTCTCTCTCTCTCTCTCTCTCTCTCTCTCTCTCTCTCTCTCTCTCTCTCTCTCTCTCTCTCTCTCTCTCTCTCTCTCTCTCTCTCTTCTCTCTCTCTCTGTCCCTCTCCCTATCTCTTAATCCCCCCATTCTATCTATCCTATCCATCTGTGTGTCTGTCAATCTGTTTGTCTATATATCTCTGAACTTCTCTCCTTCTCTCTCCCTCTCCTTCTTTATATCGCTTTCCCCCCCTTTCCCTCCCCTTTCTCCCTCCCTCCCCTTCCATCCTCTCCTCTCTCCCCCTTCCCTCCCTTCTCATCCTCTCTCTCTCCCTTCCCTTTCTCTCCCTGTGTCCCCTAGCGTCATAGACCGGCCGCTGATCACATTCTTGCGCTCACTGTGGAAGGTCCGTTCCCTGAGCCGCTCTCGGGAAACGCCGTCTTATCCGATTTCCTTTTCTTTTCTTTCTTCTCTCTCACTCTCTGTCTGTTATTCCCTCTCTTCCCCTCTTTTTCGTGCTTCTTTCTCTTGTCTCTTCTGTCTTTCTTTTCGTTAAGTCTCCTTTTCTTCTTGTCTTTCGTTAAGATGTTGTCTTCGTATCCCTCCTCATGTCGCAGCTTCTCTCTTCCTCCCCTCTTCTCCTGTCTCATCTTCTTTCTTCACCTCCTCTCCTCATCTCTCCTCTCCTTTCCTTTCTTCTCCAAATCCTATCTTTGCGTCCCCCGTCCTAGCGGTCTTTTCTTCTCTTTGTCACTTCCCTTCTTCTCACCCTTCTCACTTTACTCGTCTCCTTTTTTCTTTCCTTCTCTTCCCCCTCTTCCTTTTCCTCCTCTTCTCCCTCTTTTCTCTCCGCCTCCTTTCCCCCTACTCGTTTCTTCATTCCCTCTTACCTTATCACCTCTTTCTTTTCTTTCTCCTTTCTCTCTTCTCTTTACTCCATTCCCTCTTTCCTTATCTTCTCTTCTCCCTCTTTCCTTTCCTAATCCTCTCCTTTCTCTCTCTCTCTAATCTCTGCACTTCCTCTCTTCCATTTGCTCGAAAGTGAAAAGTAAGGAAAATGGATAATAAAAGTACTTCAGTGTCAAGAGATTATGTTTTTGTCCGTTGAGACGTGGAGAAAAAAAAACGTAAAGAAAAAAAGAAAAAAGAAATTAGAAGGATAAGAAACAAGAAAAAAAGAAAAGAAAAAAAGAAAATAGAAATTAGAAGGATAAGAAATAAGGAAAAATGAAAACACAATTCATATGTCTCTTCCACTAAAGAGGCGAGAAATGAGTGACGATTTGCCGGTCAGGAGGTAAGACCCCGGTTCCTGGTGTGAGGAGGACCCAGGCGGGGATCCCTTCTTCTCTTTTCTTTTTTTTCCTTTTTATCTTCTATTTTCTTCTGTTTTTTTTTATCTTCTATTTTATTTCTGTATTTTATGGTTTTTTTCCTTTTTATCTATTTTCTTCTGTTTTTTTTTTTTTCCTTTTTCTTGTTTTCTTTTTTTTTTTTTTACGCTTTATTGTGTTTTGGATATGAGAGGAGGTTTGAGAGAGGAGGGAGAGAGATGAGGAGGGGGAATGAAGAAAGAAGAAGAAGAAAGAAGAAGAAGAAGAAGAAGAAGAAGAAGGGGGAAAGGGTGAGGGAATGTTTGGAAAGTTTCCGTTAACGAAGGATAAAAGACGAGACATTAAAAGGGAAGAAGCAAACGAGGGAAGTTGCTTAATAGGATATTGAAAGAATAAAAATTGTACCTTTCTTTCCCCTCGCTCTCCTTTTGTGATCCTCTGTCTCCTCTTCCTCTTTTTTCCTTTCTCTCTCTCTTTCCCTCTCATATACTTACCACTTCTCGTCTCCCCGCTAATTTCTGTGCCCTCTCTCTCCCTCCCTCTCCTTCCTTTTCCACCTTCCCTTTAACTTTCTTTGCCCTTCTCCCTCTCCCTTTCGCCTTTTCGTCTACTTTCGTCACTCCCCTCCCCTCCTCTTCCTCCTTTACCTCTGCCTGTGATTCCTCCTTCCTTCTCCTGTCTTCTACCTCTTTTCTTCCTCTTCTATTCCTCTCCTCTTCCTCGATTCCACCCTTCCTCCTCCTGTCCCCTTCCACTCCTGCTTCGTCCTCTCACTATTCCTCTCTTCTTTCTTCCTTCTTCTCCTTCTTCTTCTTCTTCTTCTCTTCTTCTTCTTCTCTTCTTCTTCTTCTTCTTCTTCTTCTTCTTCTTCTTCTTCTTCCTCCTTCCTCCTCCTCCTCCTCTCTCTCCTCCTCCTCCTCCTCCTCCTCCTCCTCTCCCCCTCCCCTCCTCCTCCTCCCCCCCTCCACACCCCTCCACCCCCTCTTGCTTTCTTCTTCTCCTCCTCTTTCTTTTCCTCTTCCTCTTCTCCCCCCCCCCTCCTTTAGGACGTCGCGGAGGGCAGACCGGGAGACGATGCGGCAATTAGTCCCCAATAATCCTAAGTGGTGAAAAGTATATTTTTCCCATTAGCCGAACGAGAATCCGGATGATGAGGGGGGGGGGTATCGTTGCTCGGTGGGGCTTCATCACCTCAACTGTGGGGTGGGTGGGGGGTAGAGTGGGGTGAGGGGGTGAGGGGGGAGGGGCTCTCTCCCCGAACGTCCCTTCCCCCCCCCCTCTTTCCCATTCTCCTCTCTCCCACTTCTCTCCCTTTGCCTCCCATCTCCTCATTTGAATCACTCAGCGGGATTCTGCGATTCCGAAATGGCTGTTTAATGGAAGGTTTGATCATTGCCTCCATAAGAGTGGAGGAAGAAGGTGGAGGAGAAGGAGTAGTGGGAAGGAAGAAGGAGGAGGAGGGGGAAAAGGAAGGAGAAAGAGGAGGAGAAAAGAAAAAAGAAGGGAGAAAAATCAAAAGAAGACGGGGAAGAGGGAAGGGAAGAAATAAAAAAGAAAGCAGACGGGGAGGAGGGAAGGGAAATTACCGTGGCAAAGGGCTCTCTACCTGTGGATTGCGTTTAATTCGACTTATGGGGACAGTGCTCGCGCTCGTGCTCCTGCATGGGGGGAGGGGGGGGGGGGAGGCGTCGCTGCAAGGGAGGCCGGACTGGATGTTGCACTCTCTCCGCCGTGTTATGCTTGTTGCTTGTGTGCAGTCACGGCTCGGAAAGGGTTAATACAGGCAGTCGCAGCCGTCCACGTACACTGTCTATCGCTGTTGACATAACTATGCTCCGTACCCAATGCTGTTTGTGTTGGCAGACGTGTTGCTTGCAGAGGAAATTGCAGTGTATCGCTGTGCTTGCGGCGAAAGAAAAATCGTGGGGGTGGAGGTTAGGGTGAGGAAGGGGGTGGGGGTGAGGGGGTGTGGAGGGTGATGTCGAAGTGTTTTTTTCAACTTTGTAGCATTTTCGGGTCGGTTCCAAGGACGGAATCGAAGACCCTTCTGCCGTGTTGTTCGTGTCGTCTGCTCCGGTTGTGGACGAAAGTAAATCGAAAGACAATTGTGCTTTCCTGAACCGAACTGGACGTGGAGGGACTTTACGTAGAGGGAGACGGAGAGCGGCGAGTCCTTCGAAGGTCCTGCTCCTTTCCTTGTTCTTCCTTCCTTTTCTTCGTCTTTTTTGCCTGTTCTTGTAGCATTCAGTTTAACACGAAGTTTTCTTTCAGTCGCCTAACAACTGGCCGTGTTTTATATACCTGCCCATGTAGCTGCCAGTATAGCAATGCAATATTTCCTTCCTTATTTTTTTCTTTTTTTTTTTTTTTTTACCTGTCACTCCATTATGTAGAACAGCAAAAGGCGTATCAGTTTATTAAATTATTGATAAGACCCAGCGGCGAAGACTAAGCACGGTGTGACGGGGAACGATGCAGGCGGAATGAGTTGCTCCCTCCGTTTTAATTGTTGTTCCCCGGGGGCGGGGGGGCGGGGGGGGGGCCGTTGCGCAGACGGTCGTGACGTTTGGGTTTTAAAAGTGAAATGGATCAAAACATGAATCGGTTTGTGTATGTTTTTTTTTCTCTCTCTCTCGCTCTTTTTTTTTTTCTTATTCTTTCGCTTTTTCTCCCCTCGAGCCTCGGTATATGTTCATTTCTCATTTCCTCTTGTAGATAAGTGAAGTATCAGCGAAGAAAAGTGTTAGGGACATTTTTCTCTTCGTGGGGCCTTATCGCACGCCACTGGCCACCAGTCCATGCCGTTCTCCTGTTATCTGTACATCCAAGATCTCGTCCTGAGAATACATTGATACTGTACACCCAAGATATTAATAATCTCCCATTTTCACCCGATTCTAATGACGAATGTAATTAATCGCTAATCCACCTCGTTTCTCTTCCTTCCAGGCAATGACTACATCTGGGGGAGCGGCCAAGTGGGTGTGCAGTGTGAAGGTGAGTGTCTTCGGCCTTGGGTCAACACGGGTCACCAAGTCAGAGGGCGAGGGTGAACATTTATGAACGCTCTTGGGTCACGGGGAGAGATTTCTTTTGCTCCGGAGGGTCATCGCGGAGAGGTGGTCTCTCCAAGGGCGGGTTTATAGAGTGTTGGGGGTTGGAAGTGTGTCACTGCTGAATGGGCGATATTGAAGCACTGTTTTCCCTCCCGGGGCTGTTCACGGCACGAAGGGTTGTGGAGGCGTCGGTGTGCCAGAAGCGACAGCGAAAGTCGCCGCCGGTGCCTCCGTCAGACGCCCTTGTGGCTGTCCAGGCAGGGGCGTGAGGCAAGGTCCTCCGTCGCAGCGTTGCTATGGACGGGCCGAAGCTCCGGGCTGCTGCGCGCACACGAGCCGCCGCGCACGTGTTTCTGCGCAACGAGTGACACTTGCTTATCTCCATCGCTATCTCCCCTGATAAGGATTTTTATGGTTTATTTATATGTGTGCATTTCAGGTTTTTTTCCCATTTATTGCGAATTGAGGAAAATATATCCATGACGTTTATATCGGTTTTGATAATCTCAAAATAGTCGGCGGAAGATGATGTAATGCTTCTCGTCTGGTCTTTCGTGCCTTTATTCCAAATTTCTCTCTCGCTCTCGCTCTCGCTCTCGCTCTTGCTCTCGCTCTCGCTCTCTCTCTCTCTCTCTCTCTCTCTCTCTCTCTCTCTCTCTCTCTCTCTCTCTCTCTCTCTCTCTCTCTCTCTCTCTCTCTCTCTCTCTCTCTCTCTCTCTCTCTCTCTCTCTCTCTCTCTCATTCTCTCTCATCTCTCTCTCTCATTCTCTCTCTTCTCTCTCTTCTCTCTCTCATTCTCTCTCTCTCTCTCTCCCTCTCTCCTCTCTCATTCTCTCTCTCTCTCTCTCTCTCTCTTCTCTTCTCTCCTCTCTCTCTCTTCTTCCTCTCTCTCTTCTCATCTCTCTCCTCTCCATCTCTCTCTCTCTCCCTCTCTCTCTTCTCTCTCTCTCATTCTCTCTCTCTCTCTCCTCATTCTCTCTCTTCACTGTCTCTCTCTCTCATTCTCTCTCCTCTCATTCTCTCTTCTCTCTCTCCTCATTCTCTCTCTCTCATTCTCTCTCTCTCATTCTCTCTCTCTTCTCTCTCTCTCATTCTCTCTCTCTCTCTCCTCTTCCTCTCTTCATCTCCTCTCTCTCTTTCTCTCTCTCTCTCTCTTTCTCTCTCTCTCCTCCTCTCTCTTTCTTCTCCTCTCTCTTCTCTCTCTCTCCTCTCTCTCCTCTCTCTCTCTCTCTCTCTCTCTCTCTCTTCTACTCTCCTTTCTCATTCTTCTCCTCTCAATCTCTCCTCTCTTTCCCTCTTTCCTCTCTCTCCTCTCATCTCTCTTCTCCTTCTCTCTCCTTCTCCTCTCTTCCTCTCTCTTCTTCTCCTCTCTCTCTCTCTTCGTCTCATCCTCCTCTCTCTCTCTCCCTCTCTTCAACCCCTCTCTCTCCCTCTCCCTCTCCTTCCCTCTCCCTACCTCCCATCTCCCTCTCCCTCCTCTCTCCTCTCCCTCTTCCCTCTCCCTCTCCTCTCACTCCCTCTCCCTCCTCCTCCCTCTCTCGCCTCTCCCTCTCCTCTCCCTCTCCTTCCCCTCCTCTCCCTCTCTCGCCTCTCCCTCTCCCCTCCCTCTTCCTCCCTCTTTCTCCCTTTCTCTCTCGCTCCCTCTCGTCTCCTCCTTTTCTCCCTCCCTCCCTCTCT